TGCGAGGGGCAGGTGGGGCGGGCGCAGGCAGGACGCGACAGGGAAACCCCGCGCCTCACCAAAGCTCACATCACTTACTAGTCCTGCTCCCTGTGAAAATAAGGCCCCTACTAGATCAAAAGTCTGGACAAACTTTACAGCATGTGTTATTAAAAATCACTCTCATTTCTATCTACATTCTGGAAGTTTCTAAACCTCATCTGTTAAAGAAGAAAATCTCCTGCTCCCTGTTCCTGAAAGCAGCGACCATCAGATTTCCTTTTTTCAGAGACCAAGGTCTTCTACTGCCATTGAATAACACCCCTCATTTGGCCTTTGGGCCCGTTTACACCTGAAGACATTTCAAGTCCTGTTGCGTTTTAACAACAGCACAAATGACACCACATCCCAGTGTCTCCCCGTTTGTGATGCACTGAGGTAAGGCCTGGGCGGAGCCTGCCTGCCCGGTCGCTGGCACCTGCGGTTACTGCTGAGCTTCTGAGACAAGACAGCGCCGAGGCACCCTGGGGCCACAGGGTCCCATGAGTGATCCTGTACCCACAGCCACCAGCAGGGAGCTGGGACAGGCTCGTTCATGGTCTGTTCCTGGGACATTCTTCCACGCCAAGGACAGCAAGCACCTCCTGACACCTGTACGCGCCTGACCGGCAGCGGCAGCAGGCTGGGGACAGCCAAGTGGGTACGCCGTGAGGCTTTGAAACCCTTTGAAAATGAAGACACATAAGCACTTCAGGACGGGACTTTTACTCTAAATGCCTGGTCCAGCCTGATGGTCAAGAGTGGTACCGGGAAGGTAGGAAGAAAAACACAAGCAGCCTCCGATCTAGGCTACACCTGTTGTCACGTGATTTAATAATGATAAAAGGGTTTAGATCAACAGGTCAAAAGTTTCCCAGAAAACAGGCGCCAAGTGTCAACTCTCTACTCAGCACCACCACCCAGACAGCTGGGTTGATTGTGTCCCCACCTTACAGCCGTGAAGACTGAGGTGGCGAGGCCACGGCAGGCCCAGTGAGCCTGCTGAGTTAGCCATTGCCAGTGGCAGCTCCGGAGAGAGAGGAGGGCCTCCAGCAGAGGTGTTCAGGTAGACTGCAGAGCTACCTGGATCTGAGGAGGAGAGGATGCCAGGGCCACGAGGGGCAGAGGGCAGAGGCAAAGTACAGGCTGGGTCAGACTTGGGTCCCCTCCACTTACAAGTGAGATGCACTGTCCTTACTCTGCCCAGAGCCACTGCTCCTTTATTCTGGAGAATTCTCCCTGTGGTTTTGGGGGAGGTTCCCAATCACAAGAGACTCCCAACCACAAAAGTGGACCCATGACCCAGGTTGGGCAGACATAAGGTGCCTCACCCCCTCTGGCTGTAGTAAGTGGCCCGAGGAGCAGGTGACGACCCAAACCATCACATGAGAGTGCTTTTTTGAGATCTGTAAAACCAAAGCCGGTTTATGATCCTACTGGGATGAATCTTGGAACCACCAGTGGTCATATTTCCTGCCGGTTGAAAGAGAGTGAAGCCAACCTGTAGATACCCAAACAAAAGGTGGGCAGGGAGTGTGCCCGGAACATTTAGCCCCAGAGCCAGGCTTCCTAGCGACCAACACTGCCCTTCCCCTTCCATGGTCTTGTTGGACGTGCCAATAAATCTTCCATATCTTGAGCTAGTTGGGCTGAACTTCTAAGGCCAGTGACCACAGGACTTGTGGTTGAGACACAGGTGTGACTTACAATATGGGTGCACAAAGCCAGAAATGGGTACTTCCTATGTAGGATAGGGTCTATTTCAGTGGCCATAAGGGCCTCAAGATGCTCTGAGATACGCATGGGCCAAAATGCAAGGGAGAGACAGACTGTGCTAGAATGAGCAGGGGAGGGATGGGCTGCATCCCTGAGGTCCCCTGAGTGATGTGCAACCTGCAGCGCACACTGCCAATGGGCACCCACAGGCACATTCCACAGGAACTGCACACTGACCACTTGCTCCATTGCTATGTGGGGTGGCCCTGAGACCTCACACCCCAGCAGGACACTGAGCACGCATGGCCCCTGCTAGACCTGGTGAGCACAGGCTCCATGGAGAACAAAGAGCGAGGAGAGGCTAGGACTGCAGGCTCAGCATCTTTGGAGACGTGTCCTCCATGGTGTGCTAGGAGGCCTGGGGGGCCAGGGAGGGCTTTTGTTTGGAAGCTCTTTCATCAGAGGATTTTCTTGTTTAATTACTTGTGTGGAGGCAAAACCACAGTGTCCTCCTGCAGGGGCTGAGCTACGCAAAGAAACGTCATAGCCCACAGTAAGAACTGTTTGCAACCACTGGATCCTTCCCATCCAGCCTCCTCCATCTTTATTTCCCTAAAGTATGTCTGCAAAGAAAGCCAGCTCCTGGGCTCCATGTGAGCATAAACTCTGATGGGAGCCAGAGGCTCACACTTTTCAGATGGAAATCTAGCTTTGCAAGTGCAGTCAGGAGGAAGGAAGGAGGGACACCCCATCCTCGAGCGAGCGGCCGCACTTGGGGGCCGCCGGCACACGGCCCCACGTGGGCGAGGCGGAGTCTGGCCGAGGAGTTGCACTGCAACACCTTCTATAACAGCAAGAGACAGAAAATAACTCAAGTGTCCATCAAGGGGAAACAGGATAAGCCACAGATCAGCTGTGCTGCGTCCACACAAAGGCGACGGCAGGCACAGCGTGCCGAGTGGCTAGACAGGACTGGGAGTCCCCCAGACTGTCACGGAGAGATCGCCAAGGCACTGTAGTAAGTGACATAACAGTGAACAATGGCAAGGTGCCAAACAGTGTTTATAGTACGCTGCCTTCAATGCAAGAACGGCATAAAAATTAAAATATGTATTTCGATTTGCTTAAATTTGCATAAAGAAATGCTGATCGAAGTTTAAAAAAATAGTGGTTGCCATACTGTGAACAGCAGAAAAGGTGCAGACGAGCGGGGAGCAGCCTCCAATGGACACCTTTCTGTTGTTTCAATTTTTAAACTGTGTGTATTCAAAATAATTCTAAAAATAATAACACAGAATTCTACAAAAAAGGATATCATTTTCATCATCTAAATCAACTGTTTAAAAAAAATCATAAAATTTTTTTTAGAAAAACCCTGAACACACCCTACTCCACTGCACTGGACTCTGAGAAGCCCACAAAGCCTTGAGCCTTGAGCTAATCCACGTCGCGCCCTGAGTCACAAGTGCTGCGTGGTGCCGCCTTGCTCCCTGGGACACACGCCGCGTGCAGAGCGAGGAGTCTCTCGCGTAATCTCGCCTCGCCGGCCCGCTGGTCGCTCGGGCCAGCCGGTCAGATCTCACAGGCCGCAGGCTGCCGCCACGCGGCCACCCGCTCCCCACCTGGTCCCGAGCCGCAGCCCCGGAGCTGTGAGGCGCCCCCTCTTCTGCTTGCGAGGCTGGGTCTTCCCGGCGCCTGGCCGCGGCGCGGGCGCTGGCGGCGCTCACCAGGCAGCCGCGCGAGGCCGCCCGCGGTTCCGGCTCCGAGGTGCGCTGGGTCCCCAGAGCCAGGTTGTTCCCTGCACTGCCGGCCGTCCCCGCTGGCGCGCGCTCACCAGGCAACCGCGCGAGGCCGCCCGCGGTTCCGGCTCCGAGGTGCGCTGGGTCCCCAGAGCCACGTTGTTCCCTGCACTGCCGGCCGTCCCCGCTGGCGCGCGCTCACCAGGCAACGCTCCCGCCGCTTTTGGAAACCCTCTCTTCTCCTCACTTAAAACTGTTCAAAGAAAAATCCATGCAAGCCAGTCGATGAAGAGGTCCTTATAAATACCTTTCCCAGAGCGCAAGCATCTTTTCCGAGCAGCCGCTGAAGGCACACTGGAAGCCGAGTCTCCCTGAGACACGCTACGCCCGCCCAGCATCGAGCTCGAAGTAAAGGGCAGCGCGCGCACCCGAGCGAGAGCAGGCCAGCACGCTGCCGTCTGCGCCCGGCGGCGCGGGCACCCAGGCTGCGGCTGTCGCGAAGCGGTGCGCGCGAGCGGCCGACCGCGCCTGCCCACCGCGCCACCTCCGGCACCCGCTGAGGCGCGTCTGCTCATTAAAGGAGACAACTCAGGAAGCATTTAACATAAAATGCCCTGCGATTTTCAAATTTTCGATTTCGTGAAAGTTGCCAGCAGGCTGAAGAGAAAAGGTTTTCCTCACTGGAACAAGGAGGAAAGAGAAAAAGGGAAAACCTCCCCAAAACTAACAGGTTATGGGGTTGGTGTGGACGCTGAGGTTTTTGTTTGTCTTGCTGATTTTCACCAAGTAGGATTTGTTTCTTCTTTGCCTTCATTTCTAGGTCTACATTTTGCAGCTGTCACTGGAGGGCAGTTTGGAAGCCCCTCAAATCCAATCCAGGGCCAGGTTGTCCAGGAACCGTAACTGTTTCCCAGCTCGATGCAGAAACTCCCATCCGGGAGGCCCCGGCCGGGAGGGCTGAGGAGATGGAGAAGGCTGATCTGCTACCAAGGGGAGCCTCGGTTCCGACAGTGTAGGTGAGGACTCACACAACAAAATGAAAATATTTCTTACACTTAACTGCACCTGATCTGAAGGGAATATGATAGGTTGGGAAATGAAAGTTCTTGATTCCAGGATGCCAGGCCATGAAAGAATGCCTGGCTTGAAAGATAAGATTCTTGTTTTCTTACTAATTCTAAAAGCATCAATTATGACATCCATAATAATAGAGACATGGCCATTCCATAGGGCAAATTATGTCTGCCTATAGGTAACTGCTAGAAAACACAGGGCAGCATGATTATCTACTCATGACTCCAGCATTAAAGTGGTTAAATGAGCTGGCAGAAAATCTCTTATTAGGGGGAGCCGAAAGGTAGTTCCAGCCTTCAGAGCCAGAGTGAAGACTGCAGTCTCAAAAGCACAAACCAATATGGAGAAATAGGGAATCATCCAGCGGGTGAGCCCCGCGGTGCTGCGGGCTTGCTCTGACAGCACACGCGGCCCCGGGCTCGGGCACAGCAAACAGGACTCTCGGTTACTCACCTAGGCCCCCCTGCCGGATGTCTGTGCGCGTGGCTCCGCCAAGGATAAACTGGGGGCTGGGGCACAGCTCCTGTGAGTAATTGGGGAGAAAACACAAGTCACAAGATGCTCGGTGATGGTGGCAGCAGGGGCACAGGGACTTCAGTCACAGAAGGCAGACCTGGAGGAGACCCCGGAGATCGGCTCACTGCGCAGAACACTGGTTGTTGCTGAGGACTCTGAAGCCCAGGGAAGGGAGGAGACCCGCCCACAGTCACACAGCCGGAGCAGGGACAGGAGCCCGCAGCGCCCTCACGCCAGTACTCCTGTCACCACACACACCATGCTGTTGCGTGGGAGAGAAAGGGGGCGGGGCGGGGGGAGGAGAAAGGCAAAGGCTGAGATAATGGTGTGATGAGATGTGATCTCACCCAGACAACACCCCTATTTATATAAGGTAGAGCATTAGAATAGTGTTTAGCAAAATGCTATGCACCTGCAGACACTTGTTAAACACTTGACTAAATGATAATGATCCCATGTGCTGATGGAAATACTGAGGTGTCAGGAAGTACCGCCTATCCCCAGAGGAGAACTCAGCTCTGACACATGCACGTGTCTGACCTGCCCTTCCTCCTCTCACCGACCTCAACTGCCCCCTGCCTACGGGCCTCCTCCACCTCCTGGCTCCGTGGAGCTCTGCTGGGACGCAATGAGGCACGCTTTATTTGTTTACCCAGAAGGATTTACCTCGTGCCCATTCTACACTCAGTGTTACTTACACCATGACAGCAGGGGCAAAAGGGGAGCATGGTGAAATGAAGAAAGAAAAGAAATAAAACACGATTCTTGGCCTCAAAGTGCTTTTTGGTCCATGCAGGAAACCAAGATTGGCATTACCAAAAAATCAGAGGGAAAAAAGGTTGGTGCGTAATAATGGAACGTAGACTATATCCACTAAAGGAGAAAAATGAGAAATGTCCAATAAGGATCATGGCTGAAAGACTCACTGGGTGGGAGGCGACACCCAGCCATTGGAAAGGCGGGATTCAAGAGTAATTTACAGATTTGCTGCCAAAGAAGAGACGGGTCTGCCTGGCCACCGGCGAGCTGCTGAGGGAAAGCGAGGGACAAAAAAGAAGTCGGCCTGCGTTCAGTCAGAGGCATCCTGCATCGTGCTACACCAAAGACTGGCCAAACAGCCAGAGTCATTTCGCTCTAACTCCACAGCGATGGCGAAACCGCAGATCAAAGGGGACGGGGAAGCAGGCGGGTGGGCCAGGCCAGGGGCTCAGACCCGGGGTTCGGGGTCCTGCTGTGAGGTGGTGCCACAGCTCTCCGGCAGGCAGCCAGCTCCTGCCCAAATGGCCAGAAACACCGCCTTTTGGCCAGCTTTTCTTATCAAGTATTAAAAAAATTCATTCACTTATTTTTCATAGAAAAAAAAAATACATGCACATGGAAAAAAATCCAGCAGGAAATAATGGTGTAAAACAACAAAAAAATTCCTTCCAGCTCGGATTCTCCACTGTTAGCATTTCTTATGTGTCCTTCCAAAAACTCCCTCCTGCCATAAAAGCACATGTATATACAATACATATACAAGGGCTGCCCAGAAAGTACCCAGCCATTGCTATTGTAAGGCTATACACACTTTTTATCACGTGTGTCTTAGACATAAGAACTTTGTAATGAAGCTTTGCGATTTCATTAAAAGTACCATGAGTTGTTTAGCCAGTCTTCTAGTGATGGACCTTTGGTGTTTTGAGTTTTTCGTTTCAATCTTTTGCAATCGCTGGTGGCCATTTAAAGAGAGACATGGCACCAGCCAGTCTGGGTGTTTTCAAAGTGGGCAGCGGCAAATGCTGATCACAGGTGCTCACGAGCTCCCAGTTTCCAGACAGCCATTTCTTGGTGAGTAGGGCAGAGAGATTTGAAAGGTTAATAAATAGAAAGGAAGAGACAAAACAATTTTTAATTTTAATTTTGCTTTAAGAAAGGCAGAAAGAGGCCAGCCATGGTAGCTCGTGCTTGTAATCCTAGCACTTTGGGAGGCCGAGGCAGGAAGATCACTTGAGGTTAGGATTTTGAGACCAGCCTGAGCAAGAGTGAGACCCCACCTCTACAAAAAAATAGAAAAGTTAGCCAGGCATGGTAGTGCGCACCTGTAGTCCCAGCTACTCAGGAGGCTGAGGCATCACTTAAGCCCAGGAGTTTGAGGTTGCTGTGAGCTATGATGGTGCCACTGTACTCTAGTTGAGGCGACAGAGCAAGACCCTATCTCAAAAATAAAAAATAAAAAAACACAGCTTCTACTAGCTATAGAATATGCTGATGCTTCAAAAATAACTCCCTAAGCCATATATTCAATAACCTGTTACACTGTCCATGAGATATAATTTCATTAGACTCATATCTGCTAATAATAGGCCTATCAAGGCCTGCTAAAATTTTGAGTTGGGTTGGAGGACAGAGTGATTGTCAAAGGCTCTAGACAATTTAAAGTGTTATATCCAGAATGGTGCTAAGTGGTTTATAGGTAGATGGAAAGTTCATTTTACTACATGTTACTCATAAATATAATTCAATATGTCCCCTCCTCAGAAAAATAACCACCAAGGAATGCCGAGGTAGTATGTTGAATGACTCTTTCAGGGACCACAGCAAGTTCTCAGTTGTGCCAGGAGATCACGTCTCAGCACCGTTCCCAAGGAGAACTTGTGAGGCGCCTCATTTCTGGACACCCCAAGCTGCTTGCAAGCCCCTGCAGAGGCCCCTTGGGAGAAGAAAACGGAAGCGTCTAGGCACAGACTGGCTTTCCCGGATCCCATGCACACCCCTGACAGCCACAGAATCAGAATCTCCGCGGACTCGGGAGTCTCTTCGATGATCTGTAAGATCTCAGAGAACAAAGCCGCATCCTCTGCTATTCCCCTGTGTCCGTGCCCGGGAGCCCGGCCAGAGCAGCCGTGACAGTTCCTCCTGGTGACTGGCGGAGCAGAGACTGAACTCAGACACACATCTATGAATTTGACACACACTTGCAAACTCAAATAAGGGTCCTTCTGCTCCACCGCCCACAATGAGTCGGGTTTCATGGCCTCATCCTCAGGATTTTACTACTTCCGTTGACAGGTACAAATGCACACGTCCAGGCCCCACATCACCACATTTCCCTGGACAGTGAGCCCAGGTGAAGATGCGGTGTGGGGAGAGTGGGCAGCGTGGCTGCCTGGCACCGGGGTCAGGGCTCTGAGAATTTCGAAGGAAAGGGAAGAACTAGGCAAAGGTTAACTGATACCAGACTTTGGTCACTAAAGGAAAAAGTCCCCTCCCCGTTACCTCCCCTCCGCCAAGTCACTTGGGCTCTTCAATCCCACTCTCCACTAAGGCTTCTCATCGGCTCCTGCGTCCTGGGGTTTAGCGTCTGCTAAATTCTCACTTCATGCTGCCCTGGATGTCCATCCTTTGTTCCCGCCTGTGCCTCCCACAGCCATTAGAGCCGAGACCGCAGCTCACGCCTCGGTTTCCTCCTGGCTGCCTTCCCAAACAGTGCTAGACGATGCCTGGTACAAAACAGGCTCAGCAAGCCATTGGAATGAAGTGTGGCTGCCAATTCTGGAAATCGGGACAGGCAACCACGATCCCAGTCTCGATCCCATCAGCACGCCAGGGTAACCCCACAGGCCTCAAAGGAGGTGGGAAGTGGCCCCGGGCAGGAGGGCGCCCGGCAGCGGAGCTGCTCTCAGCCGTAGAAGCTGCTGTGGGAAATCAAGGGGACGAAAGCAACAAGGTAGAGGCAGTGGGAGTTGAATGATGGTTTTGACCATTTTAAAAGAAGTATTCTCTCGGTATCTTCCCTTTTCAACCCCTGCCAAGAAAATAGGAACCATGACTTGATTTCCCTGTCATGGTTTGGAAGACAAAAAGTGTCTTGGCTGAGGGCCACTGTTGCCCATTTCCTGGCTTCTCTTCCGAGACCGTGTTAGGTGCCAGACACCGAACAGGGCACTTCCTAATGGTCGCAATCTCACAACCACCTGTGTGGGGAAGGTTCTTATTCCCGAGGTTAAACCGCTTGACAAGGGTCACATTGTGGTGAGGCACAGGCCTAGGGTTTGGGGGGACAGTTCCCCATCCCTGCCCTTGAGCACTGGGCAGGAGCCCCGCCCGTCCGCATCCCCAGAGCCGTGGCCCCTCCTCTCCCCACACCAGCCTGACGGAGCAACAGCGACTCGGGACCTTAGGCAGCCCTGCACCTTTCCACCCTGATACGGCCACAACTGACCAGAGTGCTGACTCCTCTAGCCTTGAGTGGTTCCACTGTGCACTGGCCCAGGGCCTTGTGCAATTATAACCACTGTGTATTCTTTGCCTATTATGTGCCAGGCACTGTGCTCTGAGGTTTCTCTCCATTTCTTATGCCAACCCTGAAAAATAAGGTGCTAGTAAACACCATTTTACAGATGAGAAAACTGAGGCTCACAGAGTTTATCTGCCTGAGACTACACACAGGCAGCCTGGATTCTCTAACATGCCTGGCTCCAAACCCCACTCATTCTCCTCTCTCTCTGCCCCTCACTGCCCCTCACTGCACACGATTTAAAAGGTGGCAGGAGTGGGGACGGAATCTGAAGTATGGGGTCCAGAAACTTTGGCTCCACGGCCACGACTTCTCTTTCAACTCCTCTGACCAGACGCGAGCGCCCTCCACCCTGCATGACACGCAACAGCAAGCCTGCCTCCTTACCGTGGGCCGCTTCCAGACGATGCCTTGAGTTTCAGGGCAGTGTGGTCCAAGATCCTTGTAGCCCAAAGCTGATGGACACGCTGGGAACTCAGGGTCCTTAAATAGGATCCCGGAGTCCAAGCACTGTTGCCTCAGGGTCTCAAAGTCCTGGCCCAGGTACTTCTCAGCTCTCTGGTTGCAGCCAAGGCCCTCAGCAGCTGTGCGCTGCTTGGATACGCCTGCTGCCTGGGCTGCCATGGCCGTGGCTCCACGGGGCAGACAGGAGAGCAAGGCTGCTGTGCAGGCTCCGACACAGGCCCCGCTGGGAGGGGAGCTATAAGGCAGCACTGAGGCAGGTGGCACAGACAAACATTTCACCCGAGGCCCCACTCCAGAAGGAAGTGAGTCAGGCCAGGAACAAATATGTACCCAAGGTGCAAATGAGCCTGCCCCACCTCCTCCTTTTGCCTTTCACAGGTAATCTGGAAGCTGGGAACCCTCCAGGCCCACTGTGGGCCATTAGCCTAAGAAATCCATCAGGGTCTTCGCCTCTTTGCAAGACCTGCCTGCCTTGCACAGGCCCATTGACTGAATGAGAAGGTTTGTTTGCAGCTTGAGGCAAAGACTCACCAAGGAACTGGCGACATGGTTCTGAGCAAGAGGAGGGCAAGTGGTTAGAAGAGTCTCCTCTCCTTCGGGAAAGGTTTGGTTCCAAGTTTTCTAGGAAGAAAAAAAAATCAGAGAGTGGTGATGCACAGAGCAGATTTGGAATAAGCCCAACTGGAGGTTTTTCCACCCACAACTGCAGGTTTGGGGCTCTGACTGCCTGGGTTTCCATCCCAGCTCCACTAGTAATTAGCCCTGTCACCTCCGGCAAGTTATTTAATCTCTTTTCCCCTTAATTTTTTCATCTGTAAAATGGAAGATCATAGGAGAACATACCTCAAAGTGTTGTTTGGAAGAGGGATGAGACAGTCCTATAATTTGCTTAGCACAGTAAGTAAGAGGCATTCAGGAAATGCCAGATGTCATTATTCCATACAGCCAGGACTCCCAGAGAAGCCAAGGAATCAGAAATCTTAAGAGCAAGTCACTGAGAAGTGACTTGCTAGCCGTGTGGCCGTGGATGGGCACTTCTCCGTGGGCTCCAGGGCCCTGGGCCTCAAGTGCCCTAGGCATGTGAGCCACAGGGATGAATTTTTGAACTTGGGTGTTGTGGCAGATGGGAAAATGGTCCCCTAAAGATACCAGGGCCTAATCTTTGGAACCTGTAGATGTTACCTCACTTGGGGAAAAGGCCTTTGTAGATATGATTAAGTTAAAGATCTTGCGGTGGGGAATGTCCTGGCCCTAACTGTGCAGGTGTCCTCCTCAGAGGAGGCAGAGGGAGACTGGACAACAGGCGGAGGAGGGAGGCCACGTGACAAGACTGGCAGAGACGGCAGAGACCCTGCCCCGGCTGCTCCCTGCCCTAGAGCCTCAGGAGGGAGGGTGGCCCGTAACTGCAGTGATTCAGGATTTCTGGTCTCCAAAACGGTGAGAGAACATGTTTCCATGGTTTTAAGCCACCACCTTTGTGGTGACTTATTTCAGCAGCCCTAGGAAACTAATGCAGCGTGCAGAAGAATCCCCTGGAACGTTTGCTCTTTCCCTGCTCATCCTGCAGACCTGGGAGTCATGTTCCGCCCCACTTCAGGGCTTCCCACCTGTGGCGCCCTCCCCCAGAAATACTCTTCTCCCTGCCCCGGCCCTGCTCATCCTGCAGACCTGGGTGCCCTCCCCCAGAAATACTCTTCTCCCTGCCCTGGCCCTGCTCATCCTGCAGACCTGGGTGCCCTCCCCCAGAAATACTCTTCTCCCTGCCCCGGCCCTGCTCATCCTGCAGACCTGGACAGCCCCGCACACTGAGCCGGCGCCCTCCCTGCTCCCAGAGCGCCCGCAAGCCCCTGCCCAGCACAGGTTCCTGCGATCACTGAGGTGACGCCTCTCTGCCCCACCAGGCTCTGACCTCCACAAGACAATTATCCGTGTTTGCTGTGCTCACTACCATTGTATCCCTGGCTCTTATAAAGTTCCTGGAACATAGTAGGGACTCAGTAAATATCTGTTGCATGAATAGACACCCACAGGTGTAAGGTGTTCAGAGGCTGGATAAGTGTGCACCAGGTGCGATGACCTGACAGCTTCAGGCAGGGTCATCAGTTCATCAGCAAGGACCCCGTGGCACTGTTCTCCCTGGCTCTGCTTCCCCCGTGCCCCCGAGACGTCCCCTTAGGCCGACTAAAGTGAGGGAGCCCTTCCTCCATCAGTGGCAGAACAGGCGTGGCTGGCAGTTTCCTTCTTCACAAGGAACTCTTCTGGGAGAGCCTTCCCACCACACCGGCCTGGATCACCTCCCTCCCGCATCCAGATGCTGCAAAAACAAACCCTTCCTCATCAAGGCTGGCAGGTCTGAGCCTCTGCAGACAGAGCCCCTGTGTACACAGCCACACAAAGAACAGCCGGTGGAGTCGGGAAGTCTGCCTCGCAGCACCTCTGCGAGCAGAGAGCAGACGCCTCGTTACCCAGCTGGGCAGCCAGGAGGAAGCAAGCTGCCACGGTCTCCGCCCACCCACACAGACATCGCTCCAGCCTCACGCCCGAGACCCCCGCAAGAGCCAGTGCCAGCTCCCTGCCGGGAAGCCTGAGGACCCATGAAGAGGCTGCTGAGGCTGTGGAGACACATACCTGACACACGCCTGGCATAATAAGAGCACTCCTCAGCAACTGCCTGGGCGAGTGACACTCCCCTCTCTGCGAGCACCGGCCAAGCCCGAACACTGCATCTGCAGACAGCTGGCTCCTCCTCGGCCAGAAGGATCAAGGCTGTATCATCCCCTCAGCAAGAAAGATAAATCACCCCAGTTGCATCCAAGGGTCCAAGCGTGCTTTTCAGACAATGAAAGTTTGCAAAGCTTGTTGTCTTGCATAACTATAACTTTGGGAAAGGGCTGGGTGAAAGCTGGAAGCAATATTCTCTCTCCTGGGCCTTCTAATTTCAGAATACTAAGGCAAGCAGGGGTAGAATCCTGTGTCAGAGGATTGCAGAGCTCTTACACATTGCTGGTGGGAATGCAAAATGCTGCAGCTGTTTTGGAAAATGCTAAACATAGAGTTACAGAGGAACTCCCAGTAACATTCCACTTCAAGGAATTCAAAGAGAATTGAAAACATATGTTCACACAAAAACCTATACACAAATGCTCAAAGGAGCATTATTTATAATAATCAAAAGTGGAAAAAACCTAAATGCCCATCAATGGACAAATGGATAAACAAAATGGGATACATGCATGCAATGGAATAGTATTCAGCCATAAATGGAGTGAACTACTGTTGCATGCTGCAACATAGGGGAGTCTTGAAAACATGCAAATTAAAAGAAGCTAGTCACAAAAGCCACATAGTGTATGGTTCTAGTTATATGAAATGCCCAGAAGTGCAAACCTATAGAGACAGAAAGTAGATTAATGGTTGCCAGGGCATGAGCAGAGAGGGGGAGTAGGACTAGCTGCTAAGGTTTCTTTTTGGAGTGATAGAAATATTCTGGAATTAGATGGTGTTGCTAGTTGGACAAGTGTGACAACTAAAAGTCACACTTTAAATATGCACTTTAAAATGGTGACTTCCATGTTATGTAAATTCCTGGATGGGTCAGGGTACGTGGGCTGATATCTGTCCAGGTCTGTGAGGCCACTCACTGTGTCTTGGGATCACACGCTGGGCCCTCATCCTGGCAGGAAGTGGCCCAGTCAATCCAACTGGGAGCCCAGCTGAGATGGACCCTCAGTGGCCACTGAGGGTCCATCTCACATTACGACTGAGTAATGTGTTCCTCTGAGTAGAAGTCAAGGTCTGCATCACACTTTCCCGTCCATGGGTGACTACAGACTCACAGCAAGTCCAAACGGTAGATTGCATTGCCAGGCAAACTCGAGCCCAGTTCTGACTTAAACTCCATGCTCTTTCTGTGACACAAGGCGTACTACACCTGCCAGGGAGGAGCCCTGATCTGGGCAATAGACTGGGAGGTGAGACACCTGAAAGGAAGAAACCCAGAGACCACTCAGCACTCCACCTGCAAGCCCTTGCCGTGCAAGCTCCATCTGCAACCCGCACCTGCAAGCTGTCACCGTGCAGATGCCATGCTGGGCAGCGGTCACTGCTGGTAGAAAGACAAAAGGACAAATAAACACCATGCCTGCCCACGAGGAACTTCAGTGCCATGGGAAGACAGGGCGTCACTCAAAAGAAGAGCGGTCAATTCTGAAGATGTGATAAGGAAGGCTTCATGGAGGAGGTGGCATTCCAGTTAGATCTGAAGGATAAGGCACATGAAGGGTGATGATTTTTTTTTTTTGCCATCTTTAAAAATATTTAATCTGTTTTGTGACTTTTTTTTATTTCGGCATATTATGGTGGAACGAATTTTAAGATTTCAATAAATGCCCTTTCTCCCCCTCCCCCAACAAGTCTGGGTTTCCAGCTTGACCAGGGGGTGATGATTTTGAAAGAGGGTAGTGAGAAAAGGGCATTGGAGACAGGGGAGCAGCATGAAGATGGAGGAAACAAAAGCCTGCATGCGGTGCCGAAGCAGAACACCAGTGGCCTGGTGTGGCTAGGCCAGGCGGGTGGTGAGAGACAGAGGACAGGATGCTGGGGTCTCACATGACATCCTGGTGGGTGTGGACGTCTCTGTAGTTAGGGGCAGTTGCTAGGAACCAAGCAAGAGCTGGTGACAGCTTCAGCAGGGCAGCAGCAGTGGGGCTGGGCAGGTGGTGAGGGGCGTTCCCAAGCGTCCTTCCTCTGAAAGTCCCGGTGGCCCGGGCTGGCGAGCGGGAAGAGAAGGCAGAGCCAGGATATTGCGATATCCTGTGATATCTTGTGATATTGTGGTATGCTAAGAAATGCATAGCTGGGTCTTCGTCCTCAGTTCCTGGCACAGAGCTCCTAAAACCTTTGCAATTTCCTAAGTGATAAACGTGCTAAGAGCATCTTTTGCTCTAATATTTGGGCTTTGACCCAATACCTGACACATAGCTTCTAAATCCCTGGAATACCCTGGGAGACAGGGGATGCTTTTGTTAAAACTAAGCCATGGTTAGGAGCTTGGAAATTTCAGCCTCATTCCCCTTCCTCCCAGTGAGGGAGAAGAGCTAGAAATTGAGGTGATAATCGATCATGCCAGTGTGATAAAGCTGCCATAAAATTCCCTGAGCTACAGGGTTCAGAGAGCTTCCAGGCTGCTGAACACATACAGGGAGGCATGCCCAGAGCGGGCACGGAAGCTCTGCACGCCTGTCCCCATAGGGTGCCCTGTGCCTGTCTCCATCTGGCTGTTCCTGAATTGTATCCTTTTATACTAAACCCATAATCTAGTAAGGAAACACTTCCTGAGTTCTGTGAGCTAGTTTAGGAAATGATTGAAAGTAAGAAGGGGGTCATGGGAGCCTCCAATTTGTAACCAAACGAGAGAAGGTGTGCAACGCATCACTTACGACTGGACTCTTAAGTGGGGGCAGTCTTGCAGGACGGAGCCCTCCACCGTGCTGACTCCAGTCACTTAGTGCCAGGTTTGGGTTCGATGGCAGAACACGCAGCAGGTGTCGGAGCTTTGGTCCGTGCGGGGAAGCACACACGTGTGCTGCCAGCAGTGACGCGTGTTATGAATAGAGGACAAAGCCAGCGTCTCTCGTGCGCCTCTGAGCCTGGCGCTCGGCAGACCCCACCGCGCCCGCCCGGGAGCCGGCACAGTTCAGGGACTCGCGTGTTGAGTGAATAGGGAAGACTCTGTGATTTCTTCTGAAAGAAAACTGCTTCTTAGAAGAGAGGCGGCAGGAGGCCGGAGGCGCCTGAGCTGGCCTGTGGCCGGAGGCGCCCTGGGCGGAGCTCGGCGGCCGGGCGGCCGGGCGCGCGTTGAGGTTGCTCTTGTTGGGCACGAACAAGACTGCGCCACACACGTCCCACCTCAGTCCCTGTGCCCAGTGGCCGCGGCCGTGCCTGCACCATGGGTTCTCTCCTCCTCTGCCAGAGTGCTCCCTGTAGCACACAGACTTGCTGTGATTTCTGACTTTGAAAGTTTAAGTCTCCCTTGGCTGCATACCTCTGCCCCCTTTCTCCCTTGCTTTTTACAGCAGCATTTCATGAAAGTGAAGAGCATACCCACCGGCTCTAATCTCTCTCCTGCCACCCTCCCGGCAGATTTCGGGGGAAAACCACTGGCCACTGCCCTGGAGATGCCGCCACATCTGGTGGGCAATGCTCGGACTCCACGCTCCTTGAGCTGTGAGTAGCAAATGGGACACGGGCCAATGCTCTTTCCTCCCAGTAGCAGACGGGGGGAGAGTTTCAGGAGGGGTGCTGTTGGGTAGGTGAGAGGGGACGAGATCTAGGGCCCGAGGGGAGAGGCTGGCCTCGGCTGGGAGCGCGGGAGGCCCTTCCCCAGTCACGGGAGGAGGCGGCTGCGGTGCGAGGGGAGATGCCTCGGTGGGTCCTTGGGAAATTCTGTTTTGATTGCTCTGACTGTTCTCATGGAAATAGGAATGAAGGACATTAGGCGAGAGTGAAAATGGGCAGAGGCACTGGAAGTTTGAGAGAGAGAGGATCTGAAATGAGTGGCCTAAGAAGATGGACAAGAGACACACGCTGCCAGGCAGCAGTAAAGGGCCGGGCGAGTTAGTGACCCTCAGTTTAATGTAAAACAAATCAACCTACGTATTAATATTTATCTAGTACTGCTATCAAATTTTCCAAAACTTGGGGTCTAAAACAACAAGTATGTATTATCTTACAATTTCTATGGGCAAGGAGTTCAGGAGTAGCTCAGCCTCTGGGTCTTTCATGAAGTTGCATCCTTCCTGAGACGCCAGCCGGGACTGCAGAACCGACGGCTCAGCTGTGTGGACAGGCCCTGCCGTGACATGGCTCGCTCACATGGCGGGGGCAGGAGGCCTCAGTTCCTCATTACACGGGTCCCTGTGGGCTGCCTGAGTGTCCCCATGACAGGGCAGCTGACTTCCTCCAGAACAAGTGGTCCGAAAACCAGAGGAAACCACAGTGTCTTTTATGACCTCACCTCTGAAGTTGCACACTCACTTTGAATTCATTCTAGTCATTAGAAGCAAGTTGCTATGTCTAGCCCACTCTCAAAAAAAAAAAAAAGGATTTAATTCCACCTCTTAAAGTAAGAAATAGCAAATCATCTGTGGGCATATGTTTAAACCCCAGCCTTATTGTGTGTGACCAGACACAGGTCAGGCATGGAGTAGACAGAAAGTTGATGTAAACAAGGTTATGGACAGGTGAGAACAGGACATCCAATACGCAGAGCCCTGATGGTGCCAGGCCTCCCCAAATCAGAAAATGAACCCTGCTGGCCGCACGGAGCTCCAGCAGCCTCGGCACCAGGCCTGGCGGTGCTCGCAGTGTCCCCGTCACTCCCCGTCAGCAGCCACCTAGCTCAGCCCTGCTCCGCACCGGCCTCCTCGACTGCTCGCGTTTTTGCTCCAGGACAGCCTGGCCTTGCCTGCGGCCCGTCACAGACTCTGCAGCTCTGACCAGCTCATGACTGGTCCCGCCGCTAACAAGCGAATGACTCCTTTGTGTTTCTCAGTCCAAATTCCCAGGAGAGAAAATCTAATTGGCCCAGCTACCTTCTTGAGCCAGACCACACAGGTCCTATGTCCCTGACCAAGCTAAGGAAGTAGGTGCTGGGACACAAGGCGTCTGCATTCCGCGCATGGCCCTCGGAGGCCGGCAGCGCCGTGGCGTGTCCTTGCGCCAGGCCCTGGTGCGCTGCCCGGCGGCCAGGCCTCTCTCCCCGTGGGAGGCCCTTTGCCAGCAGTCCCAGAAACCAGACGTGGCTCTCTAAATGCGGACATGTACCCCCCCCAGGGTGTTTGGTGATATAATGGAGCATAAATATGACTTATTATCTTGGGCTATCAGTTTTATTCAAAGATTTTTTGGTAAGAATTTTTTTAAGTTTTTAATAAGAAACGTACATAGGCAGCTGCCAGACTCCATTTTCTTTTGTTCTGTCTTTTTTTTTTTTTTTTTTTTTTGAGACAGAGTCTCATTTTGTTGCCCAGGCTAGAGTGAGTGCTGTGGCGTCAGCCTAGCTCACAGCAACCTCAAACTCCTGGGCTCAAGCAATCCTCCTGCCTCAGCCTCCCGAGTAGCTGGGACTACAGGCATGCACCACCATGCCCGGCTACTTTTTTCTATATATGTATTAGTTGGCCAATTAATTTCTTTCTATTTATAGTAGAGACGGGGTCTCACTTTTGCTCAGGCTGGTTTCGAACTCCTGACCTTGAGCAATCCTCCCACCTCGGCCTCTCAGAGTGCTAGGATTACAGGCGTGAGCCACCGCTCCCGGCCCAGACTCCATTTTCAAGGAGTGCACATTTGCTCTTCTCCAAGGATAGAGTCTTCCTCTTCCCTTTTTAGTGGGGAAATTTTGAATATCAAAAATATAACACATAGATACAAATATATGAAATAAAACCCATTAAAAAAGGAAAGACAAACACAAAGGTCAGAGGGGTGGTCCCTTCCATCAGGAAGGGCAGGAGACAGGACAGGGAAGGAGATGTAGAGAGATCTGGGTTCTAGGTAATGTTCTAGCTCTTGGGTGAGGTGGTGGATACACAGGAGTTCATTATACTATTAATAATAAATTAAAGAAATTGAAGAAAGCCATCTGTTGACTAATAATGAGAATGTCCGAATCAAGGATTATAATTAATCCAATTTTGAAATTAACAGTAAAAAACGAAATTCCCACAGCAGGTAGAGAGGGAGATATTTGTGGGTTGAGAATCCTGCGCCAGGAGCCTCAAATCTTCCCCGCCGGGTCCCACAGCAGCCCTGGGGTGGAGTCAGGAGGAAGGTGTCCACAGCCCCTGGGGCTGTCCTTGCAGAGGGGCTGTAGGCCGCACTTGGAAAGAGCAGTTTCCCATCCCCAGTTCCCCGATCACTAGGACAAAGAGAACACTGATTCTCCACTGGGTTATCAAGGCAGAGGAAGAAAAAATGTAAATAGGTTCTTATTAGAATCCAATTTACAAGGAACTTTTAAGGAATGCCCCCAAGCTGAGGCTGTCATAGCCAGATGGTAACTTGGGATTATCGTAGCAATTTCTCAAGGTTGATTCCAAAACATTGCTGTGGGTCCTTACCATGGTTGCTCTTTGAACATGTGTCCTGTCCAATCTTTCTCCTAAATCCCCCTTGGGTCACTTCATTCCTCTCCATCCCCACAGCCATCATGACTTAAGTACAATTCTTTATCCTTTCTAGCCTGGATCACAGCAATAGCCTTCCAGATTTCTCAAATCCCTCCAACTCCACAGTCTGATCCTGTGGCTTAAAGCAGCAGCTCCCAACCTTTCTGGCACCAGGGACCAGTTTCAAAGAAGACAATTTGTCCACAGCCCGGTGGGGGGATGGCTCCAGGATGATTAAGCACATGGCATTTATTACGTTTGCAGCCGCTCCCCAGCGCTAGCATCACCGCCTCAGCTCCACCTCCGGTCAGCGGGCATCAGACTCTCATGAGGGGCGCGTCCTAGACCCCTCGCTCGCGCGGCTCACAGCAGGGTTCCCGTGCTGTGGGGTCTAAAGCCACCGCAGTGCTGCCAGCAGCGGGGAGCAGCTGTGAGTGCACCTCCCGCTGTGCAGCGGCCTGATTCCTAACAGGCCACGGACCAGCACCGCTCCATGGCCTGGGGGTTGGGGAACCTTAGACTTAAAGTACTTCAGTGCCCTCACGTTGCCTTAAAGATATGCAGTTCCGTGGCACAGTCCCACAACCTTCAGCATCTGGCTGTCCCAGCCCTGTCACCATCACCTGTCGGCCATGCCTCCTCCGGGCAGAACTAACATGGGACGTCCCCCCAAACTCACAATGCCTTCTCACACCTCCATCCTCCCACTGATGCAAGGACAGGCACTCTGTTGTCCCCTGCTTGGCCATGACTCATCTTTCTGGATTAAGTTCAAGTATCACTCCTCTAGAAAGTCTCTCAAGGTAAAGGCCATTCTGTGTGTCACACTGAATTGTAACCATTAGTTGGCTTCTCAGTTCCAAATCTTCTCCCCTCCTCCCATTAGAGTCGACATGCCTTACACGCAGGGACTGTATTTGCATCTCTATGTCTCTGTGCCCCGTATCTCTAACCCTTTCTGTAACCCAGGCCCTGGCACGTATTAGGTGTTCCATGCATACTCAATGACTTAATAACTAGCTATCAATAAATATACAAGTCATGTTCAAGCTTTGTATCTCACACCCTTGGACACAAGAGACAAGAGTATGATTAAGCCCAGGATAGGTATAATTGGAAGAAGTTAAGGACACACATATCTTGAGGACTCACTGAATGTGTGATTCTCCGAAAATGTTTACAAGTACAAATTAAGAAGAGTTTAGAGAGATGCTAACAGTAACTAGAGAAAATAGTATCTTAGCTGCAGTCAATGAGAGCGCACGACCAAGATTCCACATATTTGAATTCCAGCCTCTGCTCTGCCACATTCTCCGGTCACCTGGAGAAGTCACTCTAATCCTGGGTCTTCCTTTGCTTATCTGACACGGGGGACACGGGAGGCCTCGAACACAGTCCTGCGTGCACTCTAGTCACATTTCCATGGAGACGACAGGCTGCTAGGCAAGCTGAGCACAGCCGTCAGCCCCAGAACTGGCCCCGCCTGGCCAGGGAACAGCGGGGGCTCCCTGCAGATACCACGCACGCACGAACGCACGCACACACACCTCCAGCCCCAGCTGAGCCCTTCACACGCGCCATCTCCCGTTTCTGCAACAACGCTGTGCAACTGCCATCAGTCACGTTCTACATGCGAGGAAACTGAGTTTCATCCACAGTTCCTCGGCAGCAGAACTAGGATTTGAATCCAGGTTTGTGTTAGCTAAAAGCCCACGTGCTTATCCAAGACACCATGTTGGCACTGGTTAAAGTGACATCACTTTATGACATGTAGAATGCACCCGGGGACTTGAACTGGTGGAGGCTGCCTTCTTGTCACTGACAGATTCCCCACAGGGGCTGCTGGGTTCCCGCTGCTAGTCCCATGTGAGATGCTTCCTCGCCTTCCAGCAGCGGGTGAAAGCACTGGAGCAGGTGAAAGCACTGGAGACAGCCCTGCTCCTCACTGCAGCCAGCACAGCACGGGACTTGGCCTCTCCGCCAGCTGAGATGAACCGCAAGCAGCAGCAGCAGCAGCAGCAGGCGTGCGTGCTCAAAGGTATCAAAGCCAAGGTGCTGGAGCTCTAGCAGCCGGTGGTCTCTGCTGCCACCTAGAAGTCTGTTTCCTCCCAGCAGGCCTTGTGGACTCATTTAGAACCTCGTGCTTGGTATAACATCCAAGTAATACCCCTCTCCTCTTGCACTCCTCAGAGGATGGCTGCCAGCTGACCTTTCTGAAAACACCTATCAAGAACATTTTAAACATTTTTAAATGACTAGGGATTCTGAAAATTGATAAAGAGAAAGAACTGCATGTTTATCCTGCCTTTCCTGTTTGGGCTATATTTTAGGGTAATTAAATAGTTGATAAAGCAACAGTTTTCCTGAGAACTGCAGCTACTAGAACAAGTGATAGAAGAATTACCACCTTGCAGCCCTTCATTGTTCATGAAACAATGAATCTAGGCAGGTGTCACCAATGGGTGCCAACACAATTAGATCACAGGCTAATGAGGAGCTTTATAATGGACAGCTGAGGCTGAAACACCTAAGCACACTTATCAATCTGTGCATCTATGCATGGGAGATTACTGCCTTCTCATGCGATATAATGGTGTGTACAGTACAGGCCCTCCTGTGAAGAATTCTGTCTTCTCCCAAAAATGAACTGAATCTAATCAAACCTTTAGATCGTATTTATTGCCAGTTTAGAGCAAACAGAAGATTAACCACTTTGGTACCAGCGTCGACTGCAGTCGACAGCCACAGATGAACGTGCACAGCGACTTTGGCCGACAGCCGTGATATGAGTTTTCTAATTTTTCATTTATCAAAATAAAATTGTGAACATTTAAAAATAACGTACTGAAAACATATATGTGTATGTTACCTATTCTGACTGGCACGACAGGCAAAGCTGCCTGTAAAGTGAAACAAGCCTCGGGTGCTTCCAGGCTTTCCTCAGCACACCAGCCCAGGACGGACTCGGGGCCACGCGCAGACAGACGCCGCGCAGCCCGACGGCCGCGGCTGTGGCGAGCGCGGCCCGACGCGGTTAAGCAGGGTTTCTTATTCTTTGCATTACTGACATTTTGGGCTGGATAACCACTAAAAGAAGAGTACAACAACATATAACTAAACAACCTAATTATAAAATAGAATAATAAAAAAATCCAAAAGAAAGCAAAAAAAGAGAGAGAAAGGAAAACATAGAATAGATGGGACAAATAAAAAACAAAAAGAAGATAGGTTTAAATACAAATACATCAGTGATTCTATTAAATATAAATTACTACATGTTAAAAACAAAATTCTCAGACTAGTTAAAAACAACAAAGTGGCACAGCTTAATTATAAAGATATAGAAAGGTTAAAAATTAAAGGACGGAAAAAAATATGTGCAAACACCAAAAACAAAGCTGATATAATTATACTAATATTGGAAAAAGAACACCTTGAGACAAAAGGATTACTAGAGATAAAAAGAAACATTTCATAATAACAAAATTCATTGGGTAGACATAGTAATAATTTTAAATTTGTATACTCATAACAACATAGCTTCAAAATATGACAACTGTCTGCAAAATATCCAGCCATATAATATGTTCTTGTTATATTAACAATGGCTGGATACTTTCCAGACAGCCCTTATTTATAAAGAAAGAATTAGCAGGACAAAAAGGGAAAATACATAATCTTAGGGTGATATTTCAATACAATACTCTTAGCAACTGATAGAACAAGCACACAAAAATACCCATAAGAATGTAGAAGATTTGGACAATGCAATTAACAAACACAGCCTCCTTGGCATATATAGAATACTGCGCCTAACAGCAGCAAAGCCCATATTATTTTCAAATTAACATGGAGCATTTACCAAAATTGACCACCACATACACCAAAGTCCTGGCAATGAACTTCAGATGTTTTGCCATGACCTTGGATTAAAGTCATCACTCTGCAGGACCCAGCTCTGTCATGCATTTACTTTTGTTTTGGCTTAGTTTGAGTTGGTTTCTGTTTTGTGCACAAAAACAATCTCTGTACATGGCCTCCTAGTACTTTTTCTTTATTAGTAGACTCTGTTCTTTAGAGGAGTTTTAGGTTTACAGAAAAACTGGGAGGAAAGCAAGGAGTTCACACACACAGTTTCCCTGCTATTAACATCGTGCACTACAGCGATACATTTGTTAAAACTGATGAACCCACATGGACACATCATTATCACCATAGTTTACACTAGGGTTCAATCTTGGTGCTATACTTGGTGCTATACATTCTATGGGCCTTGACAAATGTCTAAGGACACTTATCCACTATTACAATATGATAGAGAGTAGTTTCACTGCCCTAAAAATCCTCTGTGCTCTGCCTATCCATCCCTCCTTCCCTCCCCACCAAACACCCACAACCACCTTTTTCCTGTCTCCATAGCTGTGTCTTCTCCAGAATGTCATGTATTTGGAATCACACAGCATATTGGCTTCTTTCACTTAGGAATATACATTTAGGTTTCTTCCACTTCTTTTTATAACTTAATAGCTCCTTTCTTCCTTTTACCTTTTTTTTAAAATTTTAACTATACAACAAAGCACTAAGCTAAAGAAATTAAACTATGGAGTACTGGTCTGCTGGCTGGTGGAAGAAGTGTAGGAGGCTCGGAGATTTCAGAAGTATTCCACATGCTTTGAAGCACTTCCTTTCACCATCCTTCTTCCAATCTGTCTAATGTTCCCCATGATTTGAGCCTCTGAAATTACAAAAATAAACCCCTTCTCTCTCTAATAATGCCTTTTGCCTTAAAGTTTATTTTGTCTGATATGACTATAGTTGTGCTGGCTTCCTTCTCATTAATGTCCACACGGTGTATCTTTCCCCATCATTTTATTTTCAACCTTTCCATATCTGTATCCTTATGCATAATTCTGTTAACATAGACTAATCAATCAGTGATTGATTCCCCGCTTCCCTAACGCTAAAACAATCCCCTATTCTGAGAACAGACCCAAGCTATTTGTTGTGATGTATTATCCATCATATGTGCATAGCTGGATTCAGTTTGCTAATATTTTCTTCAAGAGAAAGCAGGTCAGGCTGGGAAAACTGTGCCCTTGGTTGAGATGGCTCTCTGCAGTCTGAGATCTGCGAACTCTGCTAATCACTCTCCCCACAGCTGCGCAGTCCACATCCAATGACCGCTGGAAGCAGAATATAAAGACCCAGGCATTTTGGCCCGACCTAGCGTCTCTGATGGGCTGCATATGGCCCAGAACACCCCATGGGAATTGCCTAAGCTTTGTTACAGCTACATCACATTTTGACTTGTCCCCTCGCCCCACACTGCTTCCTCCTCCTCCTTTCCATAGACGTGGGTCCCTAATAAATACTCTGTGCACCAAACTCCATCTCAGCATCTACTTCTGGAGAACCAACAACAGGATATGTGGGGCTGCCTTCATGTACAGCAACCCGTATGGTCACACGGGGCCTGCTCCCAGAAGAGCCCATGCTTGGTTTAATACTCTGCCGTTGCCATCTGGAAAATATAAATTTCTATGGCTTAATAAATACATCTGTAGAAAAGTGAGCCCAAAAAATCATGTGCTTAATCAAGATACCACGTTAACAAAAGATGGTTCTTCGTTGCATTATATAAAATGACACAAAAAAATAGGACATTTTTGTAATTTGTAAGTTTGTATCATTACTCATGTAACATTATTATCCCTAATACATTTGTTGACCTACAATAAGTGACTAAGGCAAAAATCTCAATCAATGGAGGTTTATTAAGCCAAAGTTGAGGGCATTCTCAGAAAAACACAAACCACAGACAAACCTGTGGCTATATTTCTGAAGGGGAATTTGGAATTTTCAGTATTTAATGGGGAATGGGACATTCAGAAAGGAAATTTTAAAAGGCAAGGGTTGGGGGTAGTGAGACAAAATGGCTACTCTCTTGTGAGACCCAGTAAAACCTACACTTTATATAAGGTAAGGCAAATGTCAGAAGAGAAAAAAGAAGTAAAGGTAGCACAATTATGTAAATCTCCCTGGGTAGGTGGAAGAATGTCTGATCCTATCTTGACTCTGTTCTGCACCTGGAAAGATAAACTTGCAATTCATTATTAGTGTGAAATTGCACAGACTTTAGTTTTAGGAGCTGGACGTAGCCTGCGGACCTAAAGTCACACTCTGTGTCCTTGCACAGGGGAGGCCAGCAAGGAACCTCTTTAATGAGTGAACTGTGCAGGAGGCGTTTACCTGGCCTTTTGCTTAAGGAGTTGGGGATGAGGTCCTGATATTTTTACTTTCTTTTTGCACATAAGTAAAAAAAAAAGTAAGAAAAAAGCTTTATATTTGTGGGGGGTTTTTTGTGTTTTGTTTTTTTTTTGAGACAGAGTCTCGCTTTGTTGTCCAGGCTAGAGTGAGTGCCGTGGCGTCAGCTTAGCTCACAGCAACCTCAAACTCCTGGGCTCAAGCAATCCTCCTGTCTCAGCCTCCCAAGTAGCTGGGACTACAGGCATGCGCCACCATGCCCGGCTAATTTTTTCCTCTATATATTAGTTGGCCAATTAATTTCTTTCTATTTATAGTAGAGACGGGGTCTCGCTCTTGCTCAGGCTGGTTTCAAACTCCTGACCTAGAGCAATTCTCCTGCCTCGGCCTCCCAGAGTGCTAGGATTACAGGCCTGAGCCACCGCGAAGGCCAATATTTGTATATTTTAAAGCCACTTTTTTCCTGGGTTTTTTTTTCCTGAGTTTTGAACAAGATTTGAACATTTCATTTTGCACCCAGCCCAACAACTTACACAAATTACAGGGCCACCCTAAGGGTAGGCTCCTGCTGACTTGGCTATCTCATGGGAGTTTAAAAGAAAGGAGTAACCTTTTAAGCCATTATCTGTTATTTACACCCTAATGTGAATGAATTTCAGATACTTTTACAAAAGAAGATTTTTAAATAGGTAAAAAGATACCCTAGGGGCACTGCATACAAGCAAAATAGGGAGAATACTACTAGGGTGGAAAGGATAATGAAACAGGGCCAGAGGCCTAGAGACAAACTCCATGTCTTCCCCAGAGTTAGGGTTCCTGATGATGCAAGTCACACAGCCAACTACTAAAGATGACAGCAAAGCACACAGCCCAACTATTAAAAAGTAAAAATTAAGATGCGATGTAACTCATAAAAATAAAACTCTCTTGTCACCAGAAGTGTGCTAACACCATAAATAAAATCGAATATTCAGGGATGTCATGCAACCTCTTGTTTAAAAGTGGCCTTGAATGGCCCAACTCTAGAGAATTGGAACTGCTGTTTATTATCTGGGATCCTCTGGAGAGATATCAACTTCTCAGAGTTCTAAATAGAGAAAAATATCTGGAGTTAATTAAAGTACGCCAATGCTGTCATTTTCCACGTGGGTGGAAAGAACTGATGTGTAGTTAGGGCATCAGCAGAAGGCTAGTCAAAATATTAAGCCGCTGGTAAATTGAATGCACAACTCCTGGGAGGTGATCAAAACGTAACTTTTTTTTTACATTCTGTTACATGTATATTTGGTATTTCTATTTATATGACTACCTTATGTAAAAAGTGAGGATTTGTTTTCACGTGAAAGGAACCTCCACAGTTAAAGACACTCACTCTAGCTAAGGGTAGTGGACTAAACTAAGTCACTCCCATTCTAAACAGATTTCAGATTCAGAAAGAATCTATCGGACAGGAGAGAAAAGAACTAATTCAAAGATTTTGCCCATAGAATTTTGACTATATATTTTTAGTAAAGACAAAAAGAACTATAAACACTAGCTGGTAGTTTTGATTTTCATGGTAGTTTTGATTTTCATAGTAGTGTGGGTTAGCAATTCTGAAACTACTTTCTGTATATTCTTGGATTAAATAAATGAATAAATATATCTAGAAGGATGAAAGGCATATTTCTTATTGGAGAAAAGCATTACAAATATGCTTGTAATGGAAAGAGGGAAAATTAAGATAAATAATATGGTAGTAGCTTGGAATGGAGGTCAATTTAAGGAAGTCAAGAAGCAAAGTATAATTTTAATAAGTTAAATATGATTTTATTTATTCACTTTCATAAATGTAAAATGAGCATGAATTTATTTATCTAACTTTTTTATAATTCATTTACCTAATTAATGAGAGAATGAGTGAGATAGTAAAGCAGATTGAAAGAGAATTTGAGAGATTAAATATTATAGACACTGAATAAAAAATGTTAAGCCAGTTGTGGTTCACACCTATAATCCCAGCACTTTGGGAGGCCAAGACAGGAGGATTACTTGAGGCCAGGAGTTTGAGTTCAGCCTGGGCAATACAGCAAGACCCTGTCTCTACAAAAACAAAAAATGTTTTAATTAGCTGGGCCTGGTGTTATGTACCTATAGTTCTAGCCTCTCAGGAGGCTGAGGATGGGAGAATCACTTGAGTCCAGAAGTTCAAGGTTACAGTGAGCTATGATTATGTCACTGCTCCCAGCCTGGGTAACAAAGTGAGATACTGTGCCCCGCCAAAAAATATAATAAAGAATGTTAAAATAGGATTTCTAGATTGTATACAAAACTGGTTAATGTCATATAGGGCAAGAAATCTATAACCTTTAGGATATAGGGTTTTGTTTTTGATTTGTTTAGTTTCTGGTTTCTATTTTAGTTTTTATGGTTTTATTTTTTTCCCTGAAAGAAATTACATATATCTGTACCAGACTAAATCTACATGTTAATATGCAACTTTATAGAATCTTGGCCATATTCAATAGTGAATAACAAATCAAATAAAGGTACATTCCCCTAAAGAATAAGAAAATTCGTGGGTAGGCCTGTTAACTAGAGAGGGAACAGAGTGTCCCTACATATAGAGGACAGAGATCTGTCTGCCTGGAGGGTCTAGAAGCAATTTCAATAGCAATAAGCACCCAGATCTTGGTTTCTAAATACCATTCTCCAGTAAAAGGAACCAAGGCTTCTCGAAGAAATGCCAGTTCCAGAACTGAGGGAGAAAAAGTACAAACAGAATCTGGAGTATCCTTATGTTCCAGAAAGTAAGGGAGCACCCGAAGAATGTTGAAGCTATGTCAGAAGGACAAAGGAGCTGTCTTGAAGGGACTTGCTCTGGCAAAATCTGGGGTAATTTAAGCATCAAAAAAATAGTGATAGTAATACATTATAATCAATTGAATATAATAAGAATCCAGGTGTCATTATTTATATAAATAATTGAGAGAGATGAGAAAACTCTTCCTTATAGAATACCACCCAATAAATGAAGAAGAAATAATAAAAAATTTTAAAACACTGTTTTGTAATAATCATAGTAATGGTTGGTTCAGACAATGAATGCTAAACTAGTGGGTGAAAGTTTAACAAGGAATAGGATATTTATATAGTCTCAAAATATTTCCCAACAAATAATTGCTTAACTACAGAGGGAACTTAACTACAGTAACTTTACAATGGAGAAATTGGCAGACACCACCTTCACTAAGTGATCAAAATTAACATCATCAGAAATGGGTCAAATGAATATCATGTGCCTCCTGATATAGATGCATCACTTTTATGATAGTATTGCCAAATTGCATAATATGAATCTAATCATAAAGAAACATTAGACAAGCCCAAATTGACAGACATTGTACAAACTAGCCCATATTCTTCAAAAATGCAAAGGTTGTGAAAGAAAAAATAAGGCTAAGGAACTGGTCTAGATTTTAAAAGACTAAGGCTGGGCATGTTGGCTCACACCTGTAATCCCAGCACTTTGGGAGGTGGAGGTGGAAGGATCGCTTGTGGCCAGGAGTTCAAGACCAGCCTGGTCAACATAGTGAGATCCTGTTTCTACACAAAAAAATTTTTAATTAGGCCGGGCGTGGTGGCTCACGCCTGTAATCCTAGCACTCTGGGAGGCCGAGGCGGGCGGATTGCTCAAGGTCAGGAGTTCAAAACCAGCCTGAGCGAGACCTCGTCTCTACCATAAAAATAGAAAGAAATTAATTGGCCAACTAATATATATAATATAAAAATCAGCTGGGCATGGTGGCTCGTGCCTGTAGTCCCAGCTACTCAGGAGGCTGAGGCAGCAGGATCGCTTGAGCCCAGGAGTTTGAGGTTGCTGTGAGCTAGGCTGACGCCACGGCACTCACTCTAGCCTAGGCAAGAAAGCGAGACTCTGTCTCAAAAAAAAAAAAAAAAAATTTTTAATTAGCCAGGCATGGTGGTACACACTGGTAGTCCCAGCTACTCAGGAGGCTTTGACAGGAGGATCACTTAAAGCTAGGAGATCAAGGATGCAGTGAGCTATGATTGTACCATTGCACTCTAGCCTGGACAACAGAGTAAGACCCTGTCTCAAAAAAAAACAATTAAAAATAAAGAAAAAATAAAGAAGACTAAAAGGACATAACAACTAAACGTATTTCATGATCCTGCATTGGATAATTTACCTGAGATAAAAGTTAGGAGTTATAAAAAACATTATTGGGGCAAATGATGAAATTTGAATATGAACTAAGGATTATATAATAGCAATATGTCAATGCTAAATATCCTGACTTTCATATGCCCTGAAATATTTAAGAGTAAGTGGGCACAATGTCTGCAACTGATTCTCAAATGGTTCAGAAAAATATATTATACAAACACAGGCACACAACACATACATGCATATATGATGATATGTATATACATACAATGTTAGGTACGTGTGGATAGATGGATAAATAGACGGGTAGACAGATATATAGGATAACAAAGCAAAAATGGAGCAAGCAGTAAATAATTGGTGAATTTAGGTAAAGGCTCTACAGGAGGGTTTTGTTCTAGTCTTGCAATTTTTCCATAAATTTGAAATTTATCCAAAAAAAACCCTCCAGAAAAAACCCAAAAGAGATAGTTGTCAGCTTCTATCACAGTCCAGAGCGTGGTCTTGGGCAGACTGGTTATCGGTGCCTAGGATTGGTGTCCACATTTCCCAATCAACTAACAGGGGACAAGTAAGGCTAAGGGGACACCATTGTCCCCTTTGGGTCATTAGGCGGAAAGTGCCAGGGTGGCAGACAGCTCTCCAGCACTGGGGCTCACTTCTCAGTGCAGCAGGGACAGGCAGCCATGTTTCAGCAGAGTCACCCCCACATATACACTATGACCAAGCGCAATGGAAGCTTGGCCACCTCTCGCTCCTGACACTATATCCTGAGGCTGCAAGAGTTAATGTGCTTGCCTCACCACAGGGCCACGAACCTTGACTGCTTGCAGGAAGTATGAGAACAGGGAGAAGGGAGTTCAGAACCTCGGCCCACAGCTGCAGCTCACGCTCTTGGATGTTCTCATGAAGGAAAATACTTTCAAACATTAAATATGAAGCTTCAAAATGTTAGACAGAGTTAAGAGAAAAGGGGGTTGTACCTATCAGAGTTTTTGCTGGAAAAAAATGATAGAAATGGTTTTAGGCTAACTTAACCAGAAAATCAATTTTTGGAAGATTTGTGATTGTCACAAGAGGAATGATGATAGATGTAAAAATACCAGCAGACAGTGAAAGGATAGAATTCCTCTAAATATAACCAGAAGACACAAGGCTTTAACTGCATGAAAAGCGCCGTACAAAACAGGACACTTGGCCATGTTCTCCCCAGTGGGGAGTCAAGCTCCTCCTGCCTTTAAGTGCCCAGGAAGCTGCCCCCTGCCAATGGTGCCCAACTATAGGGGTAAGAACCCTACTGGGGCCTTTGATAAGGTCCTTTGTCATTAGTGTCTTTATTCCCAAGTGGCCATCCCATCCTCAAGTGTGCTGAGAAGCACATTACCATCCAGGCTATATCCTGACAGGCTGACATGGTCCAACCTACTGCAAACTGAAAAAATATTAATAACATATGCAATTTATCCTGAAAATATTTTCTCCCTCCCTCCTACTATCTTAGGAGCCCATGTGAGCCAGTGCTAGCACATTCCAGAGTTAAGGACAATGTGCCAGGGCTGAACTGAAGGTCACTCATAGGTCTCTCTAGGATGTGCCCATCCCTTGGAGGTCTTCTGGAACTCCTGTCCACTGGTAAGAGATCTGGCTGAGAAAACAGACACAGGGAGGCCGGGCAGCCAGAACCACAGTGAAAATCATGCCAGAGAACAAATGAGGATGCCACCACCATGGCCCCTGCTGGGCATTAGACAAATTCCCTGAGGCAACTTCAGAGCCCTGTGTGTCCGGGCTCCTGGCCTCTTCTCCCACCACCATCCCCGTCTGACACGCTACACTCCAGCCACTCGAAACTTCTCTCAGTTCCCGGCCCAATATCACTGCATCAGCGTGGAGCCCTCTCCCCTTCACCTTCTCCCCATCCACCCGCTCACCCCGCAGGAATCGAACTCGGCCCTCAGGCCTCAGTCTAAGACTTTCTCAGTGTGTACACTGTGGATGGACCCTCGCAGGTGGCCGGCGTCACACCTGGCACAAATCTAATCTCAAATAACAATAGGTAGAGACTCATAGATAACAGACAGACGCAAGACTCAGCTCGGACTCCAGAGGCCTTTGGGACCTGTCGTCATGACTGCCTGAGAGCCACAGCAATACATCTTGCAAGTTGTAGATGTTGATGCTGAAAAGTATAAGGTCTTTTTGAGGTAAGAGGTTTCCTTTTCCACTCTAAATGAGGATTTTTCTCTCTGTGAAAGACCAATACCGCACTTCGCCGCGCGGGGGAGCCAAGGCCACGTCTGAGGGGCCTCCGGCGGCGCCATGTACCCTGGTCATGTGACCGGCTGTGGCTTCGCCCGCACTGTGCACGAAGGAGAGCAGGATTGGGGTAGGGGCTCGACTACCGGCTGGTTTCTGTTGTTCAGGAACTCCTGGTGATTGTTAGAACTCTCCAGGACTCGAACAAATCATCTCAACTCCACAAACGGGGAGGCGAGAGCCTGCGCGGGCCTTTCCCCGCCAGCGCGGCCAGGCCGCGGGAAACCGCAGGGAACTCTGGTCTCGGAAAGCCACGCCCTCGCGCCGGCCGCGTCTGCGGGGAGGGAGGGAGTGCGGGAGGGCGCCGGCCGCGTCTGCGGGGCGGGAGGGAGGGCGCCGGCCGCGTCTGCGGGGCGGGAGGGAGGGCGCCGGCCGCGTCTGCGGGGCGGGAGGGAGGGCGCCGGCCGCGTCTGCGGGGAGGGAGGGAGGGCGCCGGCCGCGTCTGCGGGGGGGGGGCGGGAGTGCGGGAGGGCGCCGGCCGCGCCTGCGGGGGGGGCGGGAGTGCGGGAGGGCGCCGGCCGCGTCTGCGGGGGGGGGGCGGGAGTGCGGGAGGGCGCCGGCCGCGCCTGCGGGGAGGGAGGGCGGGAGCCGGCCGCGCCTGCGGGGAGGGAGGGCGGGCGCGCCGCGGGTGGAGCGTCTGCTTTCAGGAAGGGCCTTCGTGGTCCCCGCACACCTGCCAAGGGGATGCGGGCTTCTCCCGCGGAGCTGCCCGGGCCCTGCCCCTCCCTGCCCAGCCTGAGCGCCACACTCACATCCTTAAGCCTGCACCGGCCCTTCCATCGCCCTTACGAGGCCCCACAGCATCTAGAACGGCCTCACCTCCCAGCCTCGCCTCCGGCCTTGACGAAGAGTCTTTGCTGGGCCAAACTTTAGTGAGGCTCCTAAACCTTTTCCTAGGCCCATCTGTGCACTTCCTGGCATAATCCAGTTTTAGCAGAGAACCCTGGGTCGGTCAGTGTAGCCAGAACCCCCACCCTCGGTATCCAGTCACCCTCAATATCTGAATGGGGTTCCGTTGCCGCCCAACCACGTTCATTTGCCCGCTGCCCAACAGCTCCGTGGCTCCAGAGCAGTAATAACAGAGAAGCAAACAGGGGGACAGTGGCTGATTATTATTATTTTTAGCTATGCCTGTGCCTTATTTTTAGCTAGGCCCTTACCACAGTTTTCACTTCGCACCCCTTTATCAATTTGTAATGTGGTTTCAGTGCCTCATCCTCTACCAGCCCCAGGCGATGTCTGATCCCCTGGCCTGTCTTCAGCAAGAATCCTATTAGGTTGGTTTAGCCAGAGTCCCCCCTACCCCACATGTTTCCTCTTAGTAATTTGCTACCCATTGACCCCCCCACCCTGCTTTAAACTGCCACTCGCTGAGCCCAGTCGCTGCCCTCACTACAAAATCCCATCGCAGTGGTCCCTGTGCCTATCGTGATGGTCCTGAATAAAGTCTTCCTTACCATACCTTAACAAGTGTCATGGAATAATTTTTGGACACCCCCTCACCACATTACCATCACCGCCACCCCCAGCACCCCACTCCCAGCACCCCCCTCCACTCCCTAGCCCCACACACAGAATTCTTAGGAGGCCCAGGGGGTTGCCAGGGTTTCCATGGCTTCCAGGACTTTGTAGTTGACCCCAGATGCCCCAGTTGGCAATAGGACGGTGAAGCTGGGCTGTGTGTTGATGGCCAGTCTGGTCCCAAGTAGATCCCCAGAGATCTCCTCAGGTCCTCACCCCTCCATACCCACACCAGCACCCACACCTTAGGGATGGACCAGGCAGCCCCCCAGAGTGAGAGGAAGTGCAGCGGCAGGTGCTTGCAGAGCCTTCTGCCAGCAGCATTCTTAACCTTTCCCCTGGAGTAGACGTAAGCTCCCCACACTGGGGCAGGAAAGTTTTGGTTCTCTTGTAAAGAGGGTGTATCGGCCCCACCCCAAACACAGAAGTCTGGAACAATTCTGGTGGATGTTAAATCTGGGCCCTTAAAACTCTCAACTCTGGGGATGCCTTTAGCAGGACACAGGGCCCCAGCGGCATTTCCCCCACCATACATCAACGACACTGACATTGAAGATGCCAACAGGCTTTGCGGTGGGAAAGCTTTATGCCTATGATCCTTCATTCAGTAAACCTTCACACAGCACCCACCAGGTGCCAAGCACTGTGCCAGGAAAGACGTAGTCTCTCCATTTCAGAAACAGGCAGGGTAGCGAGGAATCAGACATGTAAGTACTTGTAGCACAGGTGGTAAGTGCTCTAACGGAGTTATAGGAAAAACACTAAGGTGACAGCTCTAATTATTCAATATTGTGCTTTCTGATTTATTCTCAAGTCCACATCGCAGATTACACGATAGAAAACACTTATGTCTTGACATGACATGCATTTTTAATTAGCCAATAACCTGATTGGGTGGAAAGAAATTCTCCTAAGACACTCCCTTCTGTGTATGAGTCAGGAAGCAGAGGCCTCCCCAGCATGGCTGAGTCAGAGGCCGAGTGACTGGGCCTCCTGACACACCCAGCATCCAGCAGACTGGGCTCAGCCTGAGGAGCACGCCCGGCGGGCTCCAGCCCTCCCCATGGCTGCTGGACCCCCGGTGGTCACAGCCCATCCCTGGCCCCAGCTTCTCAGCTGCAGGTAAACCATAGGAGAGGAGATGGTGCTGGCCTGCTCTTCCTCCTCTAAGCTAGGCTGCTGTGATTCTCCTGCCTGCTGGTAAGAGCTGCAGAATCTCTGTGCGCTGAGTCAGAAGCTGTGTGGCCACAACGCTAAGATGTGACTCAGACCCAGATTCGGCTCTGTGGCCCCTTTTGTGAAATTCCCTTATTTGGCCCCAGGCAGGGTTTCCATGTCCTCCTTTGAGCACTGATGGGCAGAGCCTCTCTCTGGGCCAAGGAGGACCTCAGTTGGTTGGGCTCTATCACTGACTGGCTCATCCTGCAGGCTGACGTGAAAGTGTCCTTCCAGGATTTAAGCTGTATAGAGAACTAGCTGTGTCTGAAAGCCCAAATGAATATCTAAAAAATGAATATATGAATCTAACTCTTTTCTTAATCTTTATTTTGTTTTAGAGACAAGGTCTCACTCTTGCCCAGGCTGGATGGGTGCAGTGGTGCAGTCATAGTTCACTGTAACCTCAAACTCCTGGGCTCAAACCATCCTCCTACCTCAGCCTTCTGAGCAGCTGGGACTACAGGAACAAGACATAAAATGAATATCTCTAAATCCATAGACAAATCTCCTCTGGGCCAGGTGTAGTGGCTCATGCCTGTGATCCCAGCACTTTGGGAGGCTGAGGTGGGAGGATCACTTGAGGCCAGGAGTAGAGACCAGCCTTGGCAACCTTAGTCTCAATAGTGATAGTGAGACCAATCAGCCTTGGTCTCAATAGTGAGACGCTGTCTATACAAAAAATTTAAAAATTATCTGGGCATGGTGGCACGCACCCATAATCCTGGCTACTCAAGAGGCCGAGGCAGGAGGATCACTTGAGCCCAGGAGTTCAAGGCTGCAGTGAGCTATGATCATGCCGCTGTACTCCACCCCAGATGACAGCATGAGACCCTGTCTCTAAAAAAATAAAAAAATAAAAAAAATAAGAAGAGGCCCGGCGCGGTGGCTCACGCCTATAATCCTAGCACTCTGGGAGGCCGAGGCGGGCGGATTGCTCAAGGTCAGGAGTTCAAAACCAGCCTGAGCAAGAGCGAGACCCCGTCTCTACCATAAAAATAGAAAGAAATTAATTGGTCAACTAATAGTGAGACCCTGTCTATACAAAAAATTTAAAAATTATCTGGGCATGGTAATATATATAGAAAAAATTAGCCGGGCATGGTGGCACATGCCTGTAGTCCCAGCTACTCGGGAGGCTGAGGCAGCAGGATCGCTTGAGCCCAGGAGTTTGAGGTTGCTGTGAGCTAGGCTGATGCCACAGCACTCACTCTAGCCTGGGCAACAAAGTGAGACTCTGTCTCAAAAAAAAAAAATTAAATAAATAAATAAAAATAAGAAAAAGAAAAGTATCCTCTGTATCTATATAGAGAAGAGAAGAGAAGAGAAGAGAAGAGAAGAGAAGAGAAGAGAAGAGAGCCCACCTCCCAGAGGAGAAAGAAGCCTCAGCCAGTAGAAGTGTCCTGGTTATTCTACCCCAAGCACTGGCTACAGTTACCAGTGGCCCTTCTGATTGGAAATTAGAAGCACAGAAGTCATTGAACCAGGCAGGTTTTGAAGCAGAAGAAGCTCCATCATCCACACAGAGGTTCAGGCAGAGGTAGAGGATGTGGTGAAGACAGACAGAACATCCAGGAAGGTGGCGGAAAGCCGGGAGAGGGAGGTGTCCGTGGGAGCAGGGAAGAGAGGGCAACGGGGGCAGAGGCAGCTGCGGGACACACAGGCAGGAACAGAGAAGCCTGCACTAAAGTCAGAACCCAGAAAGTCCGAGGTAACTGTGGTCACTGCCGTTCGCAGTGTGCTCACAAATACAGATCAGAACGCTCACTTTCTCCCCCTTTGCTCTGCAAACCACATTTTCTCCGCATTTGCTCTGTCAGAGGCAAAGGTTCCCAAATGCAGCTTGGATTCAAATTTCCACTCCACTACTCACTGCCAGATGACCCCTGGCAAGTCACTGAATCTCTTGGTGCATCACTTTCCCCATCTGTAAATGCAGAAATAATGCCAAGTGAGGATTAAATTAGTAAATATACACAGAGCATTTGAGACGAGGATGTGTTCTCCCCAGGCAGCTCCAGCCAGTGACAACCCAGTAGAGGTCCTGGCTGGCCCCTCACTGTTCCATCACACTGGCCCCCAGCCCCTTCTCAGCAACCCCCGTACACCTCACCCAGCCCACCTGCTACGACTAATGGCTGACACAGCCCAGGCTTCCCTTCCAGCGGGCCAATGTCTGGTGCCACGGTGGTTTCAAATATTTTCAGTGTCACTCCCAGCTAACAAACCTGGCCATTCATTAAGGAAAAGAATAGAATTGGGTGAAGTAACAAAACAAAGTCTGTGGTCAGAGTTAGATTCACAATCTCTGGGCTGTCCAAACTCCTGCACCGATGGTTTCACAGGCCTTATGGTCACTAAGTTTTCCATAAGCCGCAATCCGTCCTGTAGGTACCCTCTGAGTTCCCGCCCTGAGCAGCCCTAATGCGGCCCACAAGGCTGCAGACTGAGGAAGGCTGCGTGGCATTCTTGGCCTTATTACCCCCTGAACTTGGGCATACATCTGGGGCAGGG